CCTTGATGATAAATGTGGCTTGCGTTATTTTTCTCCTCATACACTTGGTTCTAAAGATGCAGTAGTAATTTTGGCTTTCCAGCTTGTTTGGCTGTTGTTTTCCTCATTTTTTGAGTGGGGAGGGGGGAGGGGCTTTCCTATTTCCTATTGAGTGTTGATCGTGTGGTTGACACTTAGTCCAAAAGCTTTGTATTATTTTCTTTGCATACAGTACTATTTTGTGTTGAATAGTTGATTCTTGTTTTAACATTCTTGTTGTGTGTCATGCTTCAGTTGTTTGTTTGTTTTTCAAATGTGATCCCAAAATTTATTTTACAATTTGTTTTTGATTCTATAAATTTGCAACGGCGGTGCTTGCTTGTGCAGTCTATCAGAAACCAATGTTAGTTTTCATTATAGTAGACTAATAAATTATTTATGTTTCAGGTATGTTCCCTGACTGAAGGACTGCAGGGCTCTTGCTCAAGAAATGACAAGACTTTGCTACGCCCAACGCCATTCTTCAGAACTGGAGTTCGAGTAAGGTCACTCTTGTACTGTACAAGCCCAGGACTTGACGCAGTTGTCAGCAATGCTAATTATAAGTGTAAGTATACCATTAATTTTAAAGCAATATGACTATTGGCTAAAATAATCTTATTCTATTCCTTTGATTGGTTTTCAGATTTCTTTCATCCTCATTACCTTTCACCGTTTGTTTGGATGAGGTCGGCTGGCTCTTTAGAGGATTTTGATAGTAGCTCTGAGGTACATTTAAAAAGTTATGTATTGTATTGAAAGAAGAGCCTTGTATAGAGTTCAATATTTTTAGTTGTCTATTTCTGTCCACCCAGGAGGAAGACACCTAGTTCTGCATGATGGGAGCAAGTGCAAGCTCTGTTTACCTTTCTACTTCCAACTTTGCGCCCAAACTGCTGGCGGCTTCAGATTAAATTGATAGATGATGTTAGAGAGGTTTATTGTAATAGAAATGTCTATTGTGAGGGAAATCAACATCATTGTAAGAAGTTAAGCTATATGATAGCAGACAGGTTACTTTTACATCAACTTTAATGTGTTTTGATGATTTTAAATATGAAATTATGTTACCAAATTTACTGGGATCAACCTGGAATGCCAATTTTAATTGAATACGCTGTTACCACCACCATGTAATTATCAGGGTCAAGTTGTAGGTAGACTGAATTACTCTATTGTTTTTATTATTATACTGGACTCATTTTCATGCAACCTGTTTTTAAGTGCATGGATCTAAATATCAACTGTATATTTTACAACTTTATACTACTTAGCTGCTGTCTACCTAGATTAATTCTTCAACCATGCTTATCAGAATGTGACTTATTCTAATGTTATCTTCTTTGTTATCAGATCAGCAGGTCTCTTTGTGACAGTTTTCTGTTAATTGTGTCACTAAAGTCTGCTTCTTTTCGAATTTCCTTTTTGTGAGTGTACAACAAATAAAGTTTTAGTGTTTTCATCTCTTATCTGTTTTGATTTCCTGCAACTCCTAATACTCAGTATGAAGCATAAAAGTTCACTGTTTGTCAAAGGGAAATTGCATTTAGCTATGAATTTGAAGCATTGGCTACTTGGAAAAGGTAAAACGGATATACGGCAGAGAAATACAAGGAGAGATGGTATATTTGGTACATTGGCTTTAAAACCTGGACACATATCATAGGAAAATAAAAACATCTATGAATAAAATTGATGGAAAACATCTGGAATTCACATTCTATATTGACAAATTAAAAAATAATGCTGCATGAAAAGCTACAGGTAAGAATAACATTGGTAGAATCAATTTATAGCATCTGAAAAGGCCATTTCAACTTTACCATTTTTGAATGGTGATACAAGGTTCTCAGAAGCCTGATAGCTCTAATTCTAATTGAAAATGAAACATGCAAGAAATAATAAGTACACAGTTGCAGGACAGAAACATCTGGAATTAACATTCCACATGAACAAATTTGTAAAAAAACAAAGCTACATGCAAATCTTACAGGTAAGAAAAATATTGGTAGAATAAATCTATAGATTTCTGAAGAGACTACCTCAACTTCACCATTTGAATGGTGAAACAGGTTCACCAGAAGCCTTTGCTCTTATCCACTGTGTAGATGGCATATTGAGACTCCAAAATCCTGTAATGTGCATGAGATAAGTTATAGGGAAACAATATAAGAGTAACTAATATTCATCTTATCTAGTCAACCTGATAAGTCTCACCTTTTGGTGAACGCACGGGTGAATACTGGGCTCTGTGTCTGGAGCATTTCTTAATTGCATTTTTTCCTAACTTTGCAGCTACATAGTACTGAAAGCAGAAGATAAGCAGGCATTACAAAAATATATTTAACACTCTATTTTTTTTAGGCACACATGTTCACTAATTGTGATTTGAATATGAAGTTCCTACCTCCTCACATCTATTGCAATCATGCCCAGGCACCTGTTTTCTTTTGGCCCCTCGCACTGCTTCTTTTTTGTAACGGTAGTTTGGTTCTTTCAGCTGTGGTAGTCTGGTAAAGTTAGAACATTTTTCAAATTACTGATAGCCTTAAGTAGGGATTGTCTTATTACTTAGTAGTAGTCTATTTTGTCATAATATGGAGAAACTGTTTACCTATCATAACTTGTCCCCAAAGCTGAAGCAGGCTTTTCTTGCTCTTCAGTGTCGCACAGAATTCTCCTCCTTGCTCTCCGAGCAATCCCGACCCCTAGGATTGGACTCCTAGGATGGACTGCAGACAAAGAGGAAAGATCTGAATCTCTATAAACGTGTACTTTGTAAAAATTTTAGTGCTTTCAAATTGCAGGGTTTCAATTCAAAACAAAAAGTCAATTGCTACCCACAGACATATGCTGGAGAACACCTACCATTTTCCTTTTTCTGAGCAGCATCCTGGTCAGCAGCAGCAGGTTCACAAAATGTTGTGTCAGGGTCCTTAGGGTCTAGTTCACCTTGTATAATAGAAACTTCATCCTTCAAAGCTGCCAGCTGTTCTGCAGGCTCATAAAATGTTTCATCATTGAGGTCTTGACCACATTGAAAAAGTAATGGGCTTGAGGCAGCGTTTGCTAACAAGGATGGAAAATTTTCAAAAATTAATTAAAAGTTTATAACTCTATGTTGTTGATTATTGTCTTAAATTTTTTATACTCTACTTTTCATGCATGCACCATTTTAATTAGTATCATTAACTTACGAGCAAAGTCACAGGTTAATAATGGAGAATCTCCACCTGCTAGAACAGGACTTAATGAGGAAGGAGACGGTGCACTGGTCACTGAAAGGAAAAATTATTTATATAAAAGAGAGGATTTATGACCAAACATTTTGCCATTTTGTAAGAAAGGGTTATTGATGTGGCCATCCTTCGCACAGAACTATTTGCGTGGAAACAAAAGTGTACACTTACAAACATTTTGATCCTTTAAAGTGGTAGAGGCTGTAGAATTGTCTAGAAGTAAATCTTTCACCCTGAAATAATGTTTGAAAGAAATAGACGAATTGAAAAAAACAGCATAAGAGAATCTAGATTAAAAATTAAAACTGGCTCATATTGAAAATACTGACTGTTGGATAAGCGATTTAAGCCTCATATTCTCCTCCTCAAGTTCACGACAACCTTGACAGAATTCCATGCTTAAATTAAAGCTTCTTCTTTTGAGATTTATTTCTACTGAATATTCACTTTTAAAGCAAATAAATAAACAAGAAAGGGCTGTAAACAAGGGAGAGGTCATTGACTTCTAGACTAGGGGTGCCGGGGACATTGCCAGTGTGTACCATACGCCAACTCACAACGTAAACAAAAGAAAATATAATGACCGAGACTTTCGATATCTCTTTTACTCATTTAGTTTTTACTACAACTTCGAAATTCAGAAAAACCTGTTATGGAATTTTGCTGCTGACAGGCAAGAGGTCTGATATTTTCAGGGTGGGCGATGTGTTGTTGTAGGTTGGTACAAGTGAATGGTTCGGTCGGCAACAATGCACATCATCGTCTTGATGCGTCTCCCTAAGAAATGAGCGCGCTTTCCCGCGAGGTTTTTCACTCGGGCTTTGTTTAAGTGTCGAAAGTTAGCACCTGTTTGTTATCTACATTTTGAAGTATTTGGGGATCAATCTGCTAGTTAATGTAAATGTGTGCGCGAAGAATTAACTCTTGAAAAATGGTGTCGAAACGGTCGCAAAAGCTGTTTAATTTGGCAAGTGCTCCAGTAGGTAAGAATTTGTCTGAATATGATTTTTCTTGACAAAGAGCTTTGGTGTTTGTCTGTTTGCTAATGGTCCCTCTCCATTCTATCCATCTTTCAAACTTAGCCCCTGTTGATGACGTAGCCCCTGGTGATGACGCAGCCCCTGTTGATGACGCTGATGCTAATAATGCGGATGATGAATCTCGGGTCTCTTCACCAGCCCCTTCACTCTCCACCTCAGATCAGCGCATTATTGAAGGTGAATTTACATTACTTGCTTTTGCTTGCTGAAATGGCCATTGCTTAATTTATAGTCTCTATGAGTGTATTTTTAACTACTGTTTTTTTGTAATTTGGCTCTTTGACTACTTAGACGCGCTTACACAAGTCCGAGTTGTGAAACTGGGGGAGGAAAAGCCATCAGATTTGGTCGAGAAATGGGTGCGTACTCAAAGCAGTGGTGTGGATGGAAGCAGTCCTGTTGTTCCTCAAAAAAAACCTGTGAGAATAGTGGATTACTCCCCATGTCTTACCTCAGCCTCAAGCCGTAAGTAAAACCAACCCTTGTGAATATTTATGATGGACCTAAAATGTACTGTGTGCTACAAATTCAATATTTAATTTGTCTTTTTTGTTTAGGAGTTAGTGCTGAGTCCAGGACTTCAAACAATCCAGTCATTTCTGCTCGGAAGAGAAAAATGCTTGAAAAAATCGGTCATGTCTTTACTGCACCAGCAGCACTGATACCCGTAAACCGTAATGTACAAAGTAAGAAATTATTTATGCTTCATGAAGACATTCTGCTGAAGCCTTAATACTAAAATTTTCATGCATCAATTAGATAGTATAGGTTAGTGGTTAGTCCATAATGTGTGACTGTTTTGTTTATTTCTAGGCATTTGCAAAGACTTGACTAACAGATTCATCGAGGTGTCCAGAACTAGTCTCCCTCTATCTAGTTATTCCAAAGATGGAAAACCTGGTATAAATGTTTTTTAAATGAAAAATTTGAGTCAAACTATCATCTTGAGTCTGAATATTAATGATTTTGTTTTTATTTTAGATCTGTCTAAGGAAAATCGGTCTTTGCCTCCCCCGCCTAAATCTTCAAAGAAAGAGAGAAAAAGAAATAAGAGTGGTAATTATTTTTAACATAAGCTTAACATTTTACCAAAAATCATGATAGTGTAGGACTGTGGTACTGATTTAACTGTTCCTTGATTTCTAGATGCGTCTAAAGATTTTTCTGAAGTTCAACAGCCTAAGTCTAGTCAAAAAGGAATCCAGCCTTAATCTGATCTAGCTACTCAGCTAGACACTTCTATCCCTTCCAAACAGCTTGGAGAAAAGAAAAAGAGTGGTAATTATTTTTAACACTACTATAAACAACTCTTCAACACTAATTATGTGCTAAGATATGAAGTACTGATATTAATTTATTTCTTGATTCATAGATGTTACTAAAGATATTACTGGTTCTGCTGACAATCAAGAGCAGTACCATTCATCTCTATCTCCTATATCCACAAACGAGTCTCAACCACCCAAATCCAGCCGGAATCCAGAAGGAATCGAAATGTATTTTGCTGCCCCAGATAGTCCTCCATTAGAAACTCCTAAATCTTCTAGAAAATCTGGAACAAAGAAAAAAAAAGGTAATTATTTTAGCAGTAACACAACAATTCTTAAAAAGTAATTATATTCTGGGATAAGACACTGATTATATTTCCTTTGATTTATAGATGTCTCTAAAGATCTGATACAGCCTGATCTGATACAGAAGATCTACTCGATCCAGACCACCAAAAAGAGTTGCTTCTCTTGATATGTTTTCCGATGATGAAGACTGTGATGAGCTGTTTGCTGATGTTGACTCTGATGACAGCTTAGTTATAGAATCACAGTCATCCTCTAGTTCTAATGGCTCTGATTCTGAGAATGAAAAAATTTCAGAGATAGCAGGTATAGGAGCTAATTCTGACAAAGAGCGAAACCTAGAGCCGCAGGAAAAGGTTGCTTCTGCTCAGAGAAAAAGAAATTTAGAGATAGCAGAAATGGAAGATGATTCTGACGAAGAACGAAATTTAGTGCCACAAAAAAAGAGAAGAGAGAGGAAAAAGTCTGCTACAAATAAGAATAAGCTATCAAAAGAAGAGAGGTCATTGAATAGTCATCTTCGAAATTCTGGTAAGAAATATAGAAACTATAAAAATGAAGAAGTAGGTGAAAGACAAAGAAAGAAACCACATGTATGTACGAGAAATAAGTGCCACGAAACTGTTACTGATGAAATAGGTGAAGCTATTTTCCATGAATACTGGGAGCAGAATTCTTATGAGAAGAGGGTGTCATATGTTGCTTCTAGAGTAGAAACTTATCCCATAAAGGTATCAAGACCACGTCTACCAGCTGGCCATCCAAAGGCCCATCGTAAAAGCGTATCCCATAAATATTTTTTTGATATTCATGGAGAAAGGAAAGAAGTGTGCAAGAAAACATTTTTAGGAACGCTTGGAGAAACAGATGGCTTCCTTATGATTACTACACATAAAAAAAGTCAATCAATATCAGGAGTCAATAAGAATGGCAAACGAGGTAAACATGTGCCTGCACACAAGTTGAAGCAAACAACAATTGAAGAAGTCAAGCAACATATATTAAAATTTCCATCTCATAAGAGTCACTACAAAAGAGCAGAAGTGGGTGAAACCAGGTATCTGCCTAGTCACTTGGATAGGAGACAGATGCACCAAATGTATCTCCAAGAAGAGCACACACCTGTTTCATATTCAACTTATGAACGTATTTTCAACACAATGGGCCGCTCTTTCAAGAAACCTTACACCGATACCTGTGAAAAATGTGATACATGGAAGGAAAAAGTAACACATGCCCCTGATGTTGAAACACAAGAAAAGCTTCAGGAAGAATGGGATGCCCACCTGGATAGAGCTAAAGCAGCATATGACCTGAAAAAGAAATGCAAGATCCAGGCAGAGAGTGACCCAACTCTTCGCGTTCTTATTTTTGACCTGGAACAAGTATTAGAGACACCACTTGTATCAACTGGTGCAGCTTTTTATTTGAGACAACTCAACACATACAATTTAACAATCTATGACACAACAACCAAGTTAACCCACTGTTATATGTGGTCTGAAGTTGATGGCAAGAGAGGTGCTAATGAAATAGCATCTTGCATCTTTTTCCACTGCCTAGATCAAATTGATGAAACTGTGAAGAAAGTCATATTGTTCTCTGACTCTACAGTAGGCCAGAACAAGAACAGCATCCTATCTGCAATGTTTCTTACTCTTGTCCAGATTCACTGCTCCATTCAATCTGTCGAACATGTGTTCCTCGAGGCAGGACATACTAGACTAGAGGTAGATAGCAAGCATTCAGTCATAGAACGAAAAAAAGACCATGTTGATAAAGTCAATGTTCCTAGTGACTGGTACAACCTAGTGAGAAGTATTGGAGGAGGAAACAATCCTAATAGACGTTTCAGAGTTGTTGAGATGGCAGGTGAATTTTATGATTTCCAGTCCTTTTACGCAGGCCCACTTGTTCGTAGAACTGTCACAACAACTGGCGACAAGTTTGTATGGCTTGAGACGCCTCTTTTAAGGTATGATGCAAATAGGCCAGGAAAAATCTTTTTCAAGACAAATCTGGAGCATCTGGCGTACGGCTGTTTGAGCTTCCAGCGATCTGGAAAAGCAGGAGAATATAGTGCCCAAAATCTTAGAAGCGCACTGAAAGTCCTATACAAAAGCCCCCTGCCAATTACAGTGGAAAAAAAAAAGGACCTTCTTAAACTTCTCCCTCTTCTGCCACCATCATGCCATGATTTTTACAAATCTATTAAAACCACTGATGATCCTTCTGATAATGATCTTGACTCAGATTAAGCTGATTTGTTTTTGTATCAATTTATAGTTTACCTCTGTAGATTCAATCCATTGTATAAATTTTGTGGTACATTAATTTACCAACTAAATGAATTGAGTAAAATAAGCTTCAGTCTTGTTTCACTATTCTTCTGATGAAGTTAAAGTGGTCTGTGCAGAACCTACAGATACATTTTACAAATGTTTTTACTTACCTATAAACTTTTTAAACATTTGAATGTTTCCTGTACTTTAGATTTTATTGATAAGCCTTTT